GTCCTCGAATACACTGCTCCAGAAGTATAGACGATGGCTCGGATCTCCCTTGATTTACACGGATCCGAACTTGGATCCGTGCTGGTCTTTTTTCCAGTTTTTCACTTCTTTTCCTTTTTCTTCACTTTTGCTCCTAATTTGTTGTGTAGTTTATCCTCTGGACGATCCTTACATTTCCTTCATCTCATGCATGAATTTCATACATCAATATCCTTCACAATTTTACAAAATTAACGCATTAATCCACTCATTTATCAAGTTTTGAACACTTAAACAATATTTAAGCAATTATCACCAAAAGAGTTCAAATATGGCTTTAATCTTCTTAAAACATACCAAAAGTTCATGTTAAACTTGTACAAAATATACATTAAATATTTACTTATCATGAAGCTAAAACACAACTCTACATTTCTTATGAGACATTGAAATCTAGTTCATGAGTTTTTCTAGTCAAAAGATTGAAACACAATCTGCCATTTCTACTGTCAAAAACTGAAACAGAGTTTGACTAGTTAAGAGTATTTTGGTTATTTATTAGTCCACAGATCTCTAAATTAGGTGATTGTTGAAGTATTGAAAGGATAACTCAAAGGGATACAACTTTCATGTTTTGTAAAAGAACTAATTCAGCCTCCATTATCGAGAAAATGTTAGTTGAAATTGGTGCAAAAATAGTGTAAAGTTGAAGACTGACCAAAAAAGAGCAAACGTGCAGTGAAGGCAAAACGCACCCACAATACCGCGACCTCATAGGTGCGTATTATAGGGTGTGTGTATTCGTCAATTGAATCTACAACTTGCACAACAACTTGTTCTACATTACACAGCTTTTTTAACTTATCTCTAGCTCAGAATTTCGACTGCAACTATAAAGAGAAGTATGGAGACTTGTAGAAGAATACTTTGGGAATCTCAAGAGCATTTTAAATCAACTTTAACAATTCATTTGGAGTTTGAATTCATCTATAAATAGGGAGTTTGAAAACATAGTTTCATAACTTTGAAAGGCTAAAAACACTACCAAAATATAGTTTTCACTAGTTTTTCTTAGTTTATTAGTTTAGTATAGAGTAGTATAGTTTTCATCTATTCTTGTAGTAGCTAAACTTGGATAAAGTTGAGAATGAAGATGGAGAGTTGGAACTCATGTAATAAGGGTAACACTTCTCCTATCACTTTATTTCTTGTATTGATTCTAATGTTTGATTATAATATAAGTTTGGATCTTGTTTTCATGTCTTTCATGTTTAGTTAAAGTTTATATCTAGAGTTATGGATGAACTTTCTATATTTTGTTTGTGATATTTGTTTGATTATTTGATGATATTACTTTGAACAAAATATTTATCACTTTTATTTATCTAATCTTGATTAACTGGTTATTAATTGTGATAAATTTAAGGTGTTAAGTTTGCAATGAGAATTGACACTAGTTTAAGGAAATACTAAACTCAGGGAGTTTACTCACGAGAGTAGAGGTGCATATTTGTGATTTTAGTGGCTTGTTCCATATAATTTTATAGAAGAAATGAGTTTGTAGTTAATTTCATAACCACGAAAATAGGTATGACTTAGTTACAAGTATAGTTGATTCACTACGAGAGTACGTTTCACAAAAATTAGGAAACTATGTCATAACTAATCAAGATAATAGCATTCAATTAACTAGTAATTTCACTTGCAAGAGTAGTGAGGAATTTCATAGCCTTAGGAGCTTTCTATTCTTACTTTTATTCATATTTGTAGTGTAGATTTAATTTCTTGCTTTGTGGCAGTCCAAATAATAAAGGAGCCCGAAAACCATCAATAATTGATAATCTTTTCTGTGGGATCGTATACTTACAGAAAATGGGGTATTTAGGTTTATTAAAATTGGTGCATGGGAGAACTTGATCAATCTTCTAATGAATAAACAAGAAAATCACCCTCTTATTTCTTTCTGTTACTCTCTCTCTCTCTCTCTGTCTCAAATTCTTCTCCCTATTTTTCTTTCCTTTTCGCTTGTTCTTAATTCTCTATCAATTATCACAATCACTATAATTACCCAATAATAAGTTGATGAGAATTAAATTTATACCAGCCAAGAAACAAGTCTATACATGTACACTCTACTTACACTAGGGATTGTTTAGGCGTTTCACCTGTCTACATCATGATACTGCGACGATTCCACAATATATAAGTCTTAACTATTTAGTGATTTTGACAAGTATTATTTATTTAATTTGGTAAAAAATCCTTATTTTTAGCTGATTACTGCGACGTTCTATAGTTGTTGTTGGGATTTCTAGAAGGGAATCAATTTGCCTTAGTACTTCTATCCTAAAATGGCAATATGATAAAACATTTTGCAACAAACAGGGGAAAAATAGATAGTACAAACTAAATATTGTTAGACATTCCCGTTTAACATATTTCAAACGCATCCTACAAAACTAAAAAAAAAGAATTAAATTAACCCTCTTAAAAAAAAGGCTAGAAGGCTATTACCCAATCATATAATTTCACTATTATAATAAAGTACAATAGTTGCATTATGGATGCTATGATTTTCAAAATCACATGCATAATATGAATACCTAAGATTTAGGAAATCGGACATATAATCACTTTTGATGGATATCTAAAATTAAGGAATAACATTAGTATTAGATTGAGAGATTGATTTATATTAGAACTAATCTATGGTTTATAAGCATTTCTAACTCTCAAAGGCACCATCTGGATTGTAGGAAAGGAAGGGGAAAAAAAACGAATGATAGCAGAAGAAAAGAAAAAAAAAATAAGAGTCGAGGAAAATGATTTTCAGTCATCTTGTTTGGATTAAATATGAAAGGAAAGAAAGAAAGCAGTGAAATTTTACTTGAATTGGAGAAGGAAAAGAGGAGACAGAAAATAAAATCTAGTTAACTAGAAATAAAGGGAAAAATGGTCTTTTAAACAAATTTAACTTAACTGTTTACATTGAAGGAAAGGGAAGAAAAGAAAAGAGGAGGACCCTAGAAAAGGAAAGGAGATGATATCTATTAGAGAAACTCAAATTCCATCTATCTTATTTCGATTAAATATGGAAGGAAAGGAAAGGAAACATTGAAAACATTGTTTGGATTAGGGAAAGAAAGGAAAGGAAATGACACTATCGTGCATTAATTACATTTTATCCATAATGTAAAAGTTTAATTGTAAAAAAAAATAAGTTTTTATAGAAAATTTCAAAATTGTCATTAATCTTTATTTTCTTTTCCTCCATTTTGCCCATGGAAAGCTTGTTGACAAAAAATAATTAGACCTTATCCTTTTTCTTTTCTTCCTTATCCTTTCATTTTCCTCAAAAATCAATTCAAGCATCAAAAAACTTATCTCTCCATGCCAAATCCTTTCTTTTTCCTCATATTCCCTCAAAACAAATAGTACCTAAATTTGGTTCATCAGCATGGATTCAAAGCCTCTCCAGTTGAATTTTGATCAATTCTAATTAATGTAATTCTTATAATATTGGTATAAATTTGTATAATTTTGGTATAACCATAAAATTTATCAACTCATAAAACTAAATTTATGTAAAATTTATAATTATATTAAAGTTGTATAAGTTTAAACTAAATGTTGTAAGCATTACATTAACTAAATTGAATTAGATAGAACTCAATTGAGAGACCTGTCTTCCATCAACACAAGGTTGACAGGAGCAACATACATCTAACCATACAAGAACTTTCTTCACGCAATAAGATACTTTCAAGTCTTAAAGAAATGTACAAGGACTTCTTCTTCTCATGCATAGAGCATTTAAAAGGAGGCAGATATATATTGCCGCTATGACAGCTATATCCATCACTTCCAACGTGGAGTATACGTATGAAGTGCCACCTCAAACTATATTTTGGATGTTAAGCATTTTTTCCTTTATACCCCTTCTCCTGTACTGCCAGTTCGTTTTCTCTAATCTTTACCCAGCAAGCGGTCAATCAACCAAATTCTAGCATCCCTACTATTTATAGACTGCAACTTCCAGCATACAGCTTATGGTGTTGGGAAGTTAAGCATCATATGAAGGGTGCTTTTTCTAACTCATGAAAATTATAGTTGGTACTCAAATTTTCATAGTCTAGCATACTATACAAAGGAAGACATATACATATAGATGGCTATTAAGCAGCAATGAAAGAAACATGGTTGTTAAGCAGCAATGAAAGAAACATCAAATCAGTGGGAGAAAAGAGTTCTATTGAATTGTATTGTAGGTTCATTCGAGCTAAGCAGAAAATTGTACCTTACAATATGTTTCTCCACACATATTCCAATTGTATATTCAACTACAACTAATCAAGTTTTGAGATTATCTTCTGTCAACCTTTTTCAACTATGGTTAGAATATTTTGTAGCTTAAACTGTGCAATTCACTTGACGTATTTGTCTTAATACGTAAATGGTGATTACTTTACGCCCTCCTAATAAACTAACTCAATGAACTCAGCTGGCGGTACACGTCAACACAACAAATTGCTCCTACTTCACATTATGCAGGTAGAATTTCTTTCTTCTTTATGTATCAAACTTCAAGGAGGGTAAATGCATGCACGAAGCAATTACATTGACTACTCACAAGATGGTCCGTGATGAGAAGGGAAAGAATGGAGAAATTTATCATTTCATCTTGAATATCAGAACCTATCATATGTAGTTTACCAAAAGAAATATGCTAGAAGAAGATATGGATGTGCAGGAGATATTTTTCTTGGTACACTAACAAAAAGAGTACTAACAAAAAAACTAGAAGAGATGATTAATCAAGACCAAGAAGAGGAGTTTTATTTCAATTAGAAAAAATTCTGGATTCCATAACATGTCCTTAACTTACCTATTCTTGTGTTTTTCTTTTACTAGATGAGAACCTGGTAAAAATAAACAGGACACTGATACACGGAAAATCATTAGAAACCTGTATTTCTTGAAACGTTTACAATTTCTGGTGTTCATAAAAATGAGAACCAATTCTAGTGTTGCTCTATGACCCAAAGTTTTTTACAAGCCATGAATTTTTCAGTCAGCTTTACTTGCAGAGAAATTAGATCAACATCTGACATATGAGTAGCCTGCAAGAACATGATGCGAACTATGTGAATAACAAGGAAGCAAAAACCAGTTATTGCCTTGAAGCTAATTTAACTAATTCATCATAATCGTACCTCAGTTTGGATTGTGTAAAGACATTCTTCATTGACTTTGGTGCAGACACAGTTAACAACAGTTATACCTTCATCAAGCAGCACATCCAGTATCCTTGAAAGAGAAAACCAATTATTATCTGTCAAGTAATTCTTCATTAGAATCTCAAATCCACCACCCGAGCATGGCTCCACTGTGAACGTAATAGACAAAGAGTTTGTTTCATTAACTTTTTTGCTATCTAGATTGCTCGATTCACCCGTTAAGTTTCTCAGTTTATCCCTCTTTACTTCGAATTCTCCAATATTCTTCTCCATGTGCTTTATATAGTTTATTGCTTCAAGAACATGATCTGACATCGAACGTTTTCCCTGAAAAACAAAGAAATTCCAAGAAATCTTAAATCCTTATAGAACTACAATACTGGGGATGGAATAAATAATTTAACACTGTATGTCGTTGGACAGCAGGAAAACAAAGGAATAGGTGTGTAAGGGTAGTAAAAGACAGTAAAAATGCTAAGTATAATCTCACAAAGCAAATGCCATGAAATTAATGAAAGGATGCCAAGTATTCAACGATTAAACTAATTAGCTATTACAGCTTCATCATCTTTATATATTCAGAAGGAAGTAGATTTCTGAGAGAAGCATGAAGGTTAGCCATTTCTAGCCTCCTTTCATGCTCAATATCCCTATGAAAGGCTCTTTTCTGCTCAGGGTTCCTCCCCTTAACATTCTGATCATCTCGAATAGCTGATGCTGGCTTTCGCTGCCTTTTCCTGGCCTTGTTGACGTTGTTATTAATGACGATCTCCTCAGTATTCTGTTGATGTGAAGCAAGTGAAGATGCACCCTGATTTTCCAGATCTTGATGATGGATTGTGGGGTCTAAATAGGGATGAATGATTGGGATTGGAGCAAAGGACAAAATTTCATCATGCTGTAAAGGAAACATATATTTAGTAAAGTCATCCATGTTTAGCCAACTGCTTTCTTAGGTTAATATTTTGTAATATGATGAAGTTGCCAAAATAGGGATTCGTTTGTTAGGGCAATTGGATGCAATGAGATCTTCCAAATGGGCTGAGGATTTCTAGAACCTGCAATATCTTCATAAACAAATAGCATAAAATCGGAATGATTAGTACCCCTCTCTCACCTGTCGTTTTTTAAAAGCTTTCTTGGTTACTGTACGAGTGCACAACGAAATCGCACAGGCAATTAAATTCAAACCTGAGCGTCCAACTTCTCACCTACAACCATATAAAACAAAATGCAGTATTAAACTAATAATATTTGATGTTTGATTGAATGAGAAGTAACCTTGACCTCATAATGGAAGAAGTACACTGTTTTTTATTTTGTTTTAGTGATCATTTTAAGGTCTGGAATTTGTTTCAAAACAAAAAAAAAATGGTTTGGACTTTGGCTAGGGTGATTTTCAATAGTACATAGTATGGATAAATTATTGACGACAATGGATTTTGATTAATTTGGATTTTCTTTTTAAGGCAAAATTGTAACTTATTATTGTTGATATGAACATGTAAGGAGTACACAAGAGTATATTTCTCAGGTATACATCTACCTATGCATTTACACAGCGATACTACCAAAACAAGTAAAAGAAAGTCCCCATTCCAAAGCAAGTTGATTAATTAGGATTAGTTACACTTTAACCTCTTGAATTTGATGCTTAGCTACACTTTGCTCTATGAACTTCGAAATATATGCATATACCACCTGTGTTGACCAGTCAAATGTTAGAGATAACCTTTCCTTCAAACAAAAATGATGAAATGACATTAACAACCATAGATAATGATTGCGAGGACAATGCTTTAGGCAGGAATATGGAGTGCCTTTTTAGAGGAAAACACCATACTTTTGTAAGATGACATTTAAAAAATAAATTATAATAAAATAAAAAGATGGCTGAATACAAGGTAGTTGGTGAATAGTTGTAGGGCAATAATTAGAAAAACTTCTAAAACTTCCACACTACTTTTATGTCACTCCTCTTTCTGTCTCTAAATTATTGACCAACTAGTCTTTGTAATTTTTACTTAATTACCTTTCAAATGAATCATCCCATAAGCACTCTTTAGGATTCTCATGAGTTAATGAGGTGCAAATGGGTGTTTTTTTACGCCATATTTGCACCTTGCTGAATAATATTTATTTCTCAAAAATTGAACATTGGGTTACATTAAAATGAACACTATGAGTTTTTGGACTTTGTGCAGCTTTCTTAATTTTTTGGTTGCTATAATTGAGCTCTTCTATCATTAAGCTTATATTTAAATCAAATATATAGTGTAACTGTGATCAAATTGACTTAGCAACAATTAAAATAATGGTCATTTGTTAATTTCGCGATTGTTACATACGCTTCAAAATAAGTAAGGACATTTTGGTCATGCAAAATATAATGTCCTGTTGACTTGTTAAAAAGTTAACGGTAGAAGGTGAAATGCACAATGTATTTGAAATTCAATGGGCAAAATGTCACTCAGGCCCAACTTCAGGGGAGCAAAGTGTAATTAACCCCAATTTTTGGTGGGTTTTTTTTTTGTTAGATGCTACTGCCCCGGTCAAGTTTTCACAACTGTCTATTAAGCATTATTTATTCATATGGGTGTTTTGATTGTCTGAGAATGGGCCACACATGATTAGAAGCCAATTATTGGACGTACTCGGTCGGCCAAAAATTGATACCGCGACAAAATTAGATTTGAAAAATGCTAAATCTAAGTGGTTTGTTTCTAAAAAATTCAGGCGGGTGTGCTGTGCACCCGTCTGGTCCGATGGTGATTCAGTCTCCTCCGGGTTACTCCTGGACCTCTTTAGATCCGCCCCCTCCCCCTTAGTATAGGATAGAATAGGTTTATCGTCTTCGAAAAAAAATTAGATTTGAAGACCCATCTTATTTAAAGCAAATTACCTCTTAACAAACTCCATATTTAGTGTACGGCAATCCTAAACAATTATGTACTTGTAAAGAATAAAAAAAAGTCACATACTAATATTAGAGTTGCGAGACCTTTTCTCATACTAATAACTTAATACCTTTGTTATTTTCACTATCGATGTGTGATAATTGATAAACCAATAATGACAAATGAATAAATTAAATAAGAAAGAACCCTTGAAAGAGCCAAGAAAGATGAAGCGCTAGTTCGTGAAGGATCCACGAAGGTGGCAGGAGGACAATTTAGATATCATATCCTTTATCAGCTTGTTGTTCTGAACTATCGTACATGCTAAGTCTGGCTCCAGGAAATTGACAAAATGATTTTTGGCAATTCCAAAAATATACATGGCCATCATATATGTCAAAAAATTGACGAAAGGGTTTTTGGAATTTACGTGGTAATCCTAGGAATATACGTGGCCATCATATATGTGAAAAAATTGACGAAAGGGTAAATTGAACAAAAGGGTTTTTGGAATTTGCGTAGTTCGGTCAAATTGATCTAAGGAGGAGCAATTACTATGAAGAAAAAAGTACAAAAATGCTTTAGAAAAGTGTTCTAAACCCAAAACACCTAATTAAAACACAAGAGAGTTCAAAAATATTTTACTAAACAAAATACTTAATGATATAAAGATCCAAATAGCCCACTAAAACTCTTTTGGTTTGTTGTACTTAATCCCATCACAGGTCCACTCTATTTATAACCAACCAAGGGATAAATTCCTTTTGTACAAAAAGCGATGTGAGATAAAGCCATGCATAATAATATATAAACAATGGATTCCGGATTTTGCTTGTCAGGCGGAAGATATGAAGCTGCCTAATCCCTTCATGATTGATGTATTATACTATTGGCATAAAATCGATACCATTGTAAATTGCAATTCCAACTTTCCCACTGTTCATCTAAAAATGGACTAGGATTGTTCTCTGGAACTTCTCTTGTTTAAAGACACCAACAAGGTTCGCTAGAGTATTTAAACATGTCGGGAGATGATACTATCTCAGGGTGGCTATTGCTTTATTGTTGTCTAGCTCCTTTCCAACTTCTATTCCCAAAAAATTTCTTTCAGGGTTTAATAACTGAAAGCTTGTAGTGTTTTAGAGATGTCTTGTCTTTCATGTCAATCATGAAACAAGTGCTTATTTAGATACTTCCATTTTTAAATTCAGGATGTAAAGATACTTTGAATGCATTCTAAAAATTGTTTGTCGAACAAATATAAGAGACTAAATATGTTAAATTGAAGTTGTAGATGACTCTGAAATTGGAGGAGGACAAATGAGTTCGAAGTAGGATACAGACCAGATGTTGAGTTAGAGCTAGTTGAAAACATGGGGATCAAGATACCAATTGTCCGTTCGGATTTCAAATTTTTGTAGAAAAATATACTATATTGATGTAGTATATGTGAGTTAAAAGGTGATCAAGAAATGTGTTTAGGGATTTTTTTGCAAAAACTAACCATCCAAACAACGCTTAAATTTTCCTTTTCTTATAAGTTTATCATGACATTACCTCATGAGCGTTTCTATTGTGTCCTAAGATTTAGAGCACCGCAAGTTCAGTTGGGTCGAATTCAAACTGATTCATATAATTCTTACTACATTGGTATAAATTTGTACATGTTTAGTGTAATCATGATCAAGTTTATATTCAAGTTGTATGAATTTACATCAAAAGTTGTAAGAATTAAATCAACAGATTTGATTTGAGTCGATAAAACTCAACTTGTGAAGCACATTTTCTAAAAGAGATGTGGGCATCAAACACCACCTCTTGTGTCCTAAATAAAACCCTTATAACATTATCCAATAATAGGTTGATGGGAACTAAATTCATAAAGTTGCCTGAGAAACTACGCTACAAGAAAATAGGGAGTAGTGCTCCATTCTCAACTGCCATTTTTTTAAGCTTCGCTTGGCAAATTGCACACCTGGGGATTGAACTTCTTAGCTACAACAATATTAAAACAAATGGCAGGTGAGAATGGAGCATTATTCAATCCTATTTTCTCGTGGCATTTGTTTATGAACATATTGCAGGAATCTGGGAATCCTCGTCCTATATGAGAGATCTCACTGTATCAAATCACCCTAACAAACGTTTCCCTAGTTGGCAAGTTTATCATATTAGCAGAATATTAACCTAAGAGAGCACTTATCTGAACATGGATGACTATATTGCTAATTTGGTTCCTTTATATGAAGATGATTCGCTGCTTTTTCCTACCATTCATTCCTATCTATAACCCACAATTTGTCATCAGGATCTGGAAATTCAGGGTGCATCTTCACTTGCGGCATGTCAACAGAACACTGAGGAGATCAACACGGCAGGGAAAAGGCAGCGGAAGCCGTCATCAGCTATTCGAGCTGA